TAATTAACGAAGTCCATATATCTCAGGAAGAGCTTCCTGCATACCAAATACATGGGAAAAAGATCCCATTCTGCCACCTGGAGCAGCATTAATTTTCTCTGTGTAGCTGGAGTTGCCAGTGATTTTTAAGATATTTCAGAATGCTGATGATTCCAAGGCTGCAGATTTGAAGACCAGGTTTCAATGTTCTTAAGTATACAAATGTGAGAATGTTTCTATTCCTGCAAGAAAATTACCTTTCTAGTTCTCCACAGAGGTCTGTCATGAAACCATATGTTCTTTCTCTCAAAGATTGCTTTTTGTTTAGATTCCTTTTTAACATTATTCTGCCCAAATGTTGCTCAAGATTTCCAAGGCTTAACAGTCAAGAGCAAAGCAGCAGCTCAGGATTTTTAAAAAAGTTTTGATATCTGGAATTGAACTCATCCAAGCATTGCTGTAGAACAGCACAAGGAATCAAAAGGAATTCATCTGGACTGAGGACTAATTCCCTCTTCCATAGATGTTTGGCATTAGGCATTCACATTACTTAATTTTTCCTTCAGGCACACTTTATTCCAGGAGAAAGATTTTTGGCTCATCAGGTACAGCAGTTCTCTAACAAGCCACATAGATTTCACTAAATCTGTAACTGTGGCATAGGGAACTCAGAAGTACATGCAGAAAGAATGCTGTACTGAACTGAACTGAATTTAGCTCAGTTCTCTGTTTAGTGGAGATGGGGAACCATGCATAATAGGAGATAATTTATGTCTTTAATATATTCACTCAATCTACACATCACATCCTCAGCACTTAACATAATGAGATTCTGTTCAGACTGGGACTTCTGTGTCTTCAAGCACTTGAGGACAATGTAGAAACAAGCACAGAGGCAGAATAAATTACAACCTACACTTTGGAGGTTAAGCAAATCTGTAATTGTTAGAAACCATGACAAGACCTGTGTGAAGACAGATTATATCAGAAGTAGTTATTGGTATATTCTTCAGCTGAGGTACTCACTATGCTGTTTTCAAAGACTCAGAAATGTGTAATCCTTAGATCTGAATCACACTGATAACTTCTCTTGCCATAAACAATGTATATACCATTACAGGCATTCTGCCCACCTCTAGATTTCCCACTCTGTGATATGAAATATTTCGCTTTTCCTTTAAACTATTCAAAATCTAGATTCAATTATAGAATATGCTGAGTTGGAAGTGACCAATCAGGATTATCGAGTCCAACTCCTGGTCCTGCACAGGACACCCCAAGGATCACACCATGTCCCTAAGAGCATTATCTAAATGCTTCTTGGCGCTGTGACCACTTCCCTGGGGAGCCTGTTCCAGTGCCCAACTACCCTTTGGGTGAAGAACCTTTCGCTGATATATCACCTAAACCTCCCCTAATGCAGCTTCGTGGCAGCTTCACGATGCAGCTTCATTCCTTCAGTCCTGTCACTGGTCATGAGAGTGAAGAGATCAATGTTTGTCCCTTCTCTTCCCCTCATGAGGAAGCTGTAGACTGAAATGAGGTGTCCCCTCAGTCTCCTCTGCAGGCTGAACAGACCAAGTGACTGTTCAGCTGCTCTTCATATGGCTTCCACTCTAGATCCTTCACCTTCCTAATGGCCCTTCTCTCTGCTTTCTGTGTCTGTCTACATTCAACACCTTTATTCTCAATCAATTTGTATCAGTTCTTCAGAACTATGCATGTTAAATGTATGAGCAGCTCACTCGACTAAGTAAAGAAATAGGGCTTTTACCACAGAGAATCACAGATCTGGTTTCATTGTCAGACTTGTTTGTTTTGGAGTGAGGCAGCAAACACCATCTAATTTTCAGCATATAGGTATATTTATATTAAGTTTTGAAACTACCCATTTGAGTAGTTTTAACAAATACTATAAAGATTGAAATGTAAAAATTGAAATGTCTATACTACATTGTTCCACTGTAACACTGGCCATGATCAGCAGTGAAAAGCCATGAAACCTCACACTGCTGTAACACACACAGAAATAAATCTATTTAGATGTTTCCTGACTGGTTCTTAGTATCTAGTAAACACACTTAAAAGGAGAAATAAGGCTTCCCATTGCAAGCATAGGCAGCTGCACTCACATGTTCTCCAAAAGCAACTTCCCCGCCACCAATCCATCTTAGTCTGTACTGCTTTCTACCATCCACTGTGTGCGATAATGAAACTAAGATGATATGTTTCCCAAAGTAAATCAGACTTTTGTAAAAATAACCACATTGAAAAAAAAAATATGTTAGATACATAATCCAATACTGCACAATGTTGATGACTATCCTTTGGTTATATGGTAAAGAGGATGACTATCCTGTTTCAATTATATAGACTGCATTTTAAAATAGTTTATAACATTACAGAAAAGTTGAGCAGTAACACTAAGAAACTTTCAAAAATAGTAATATTTGAATTTGTTTCTTCCACTTTTAGAAGAAAATATGATAGTGGTCTAACTGTAATAAAATGTACAACCAGAGGAAAACAATATCAAGTGATTCCTCTAAGCATTTAGCTGATTTAGAGATAGGCTTTCACATTTGTACAGTGTATCCATACACTGTTAGGAGGGGCCAAATGTTATTTACACATACAATGCCACACAATAAGTGAACCATGTAAAAGGAGTAGAAAGCTCTTATCACAACTATCAAAACAAGATATGGATCAAAATGAAGCCATAAAAGGCGAGAAGAGTACAATAATATTAAGAGATTCCCAGGAAAGATCTCAAATGAGTTATAAGTTTTACGTGGTATTCCAATTTTCACAGGGGTCAGTTTGGATTTTTGTTTCTTTTCATTTCTCTCTCACTCTCCTTATACATACATAATAATATATTCCACCCACTAACGTTTTGTTTCAGATCAGTGTTCTTTGCTCACTTTTGTCCTTTATGTAGTGCTACTGTCATATACTGAACAATCTTTCCTGAGTTGTATTTCATTATTCTATTAAATGTACATTTTTTTAACATTTTTCAAAGAATTCAAGAGAGAAATAATTCATTAAAAGAAGTGATTCAAGTTCAAATAAGATCTTTTTCAAATATGGCATTCACACTGAAGAGAAGAATCTAGAAGGTCTCTGTGCTTCTGAAGACTGACGTATCCTCCCTACAAGAGATCACTGCTCCCTAGGGCTCAAAATGTTAATGATGGACAGTGATTAGTTTTTCTTCTCTGGGCAGTTTGTATACATTAGATGTTTTACAAGTATTCCTGCAACTCCTCTATTAAATTATTGGTAGCACACTACAAAATGCATACGTTATTTCTATAACCTGGGTAGCTTAATACTCTCAAAGCTCTAACTTCATAGTTTTTAGATTGAATTAAAAAAAATCCCAGGATAGATCAAATCCTTCTTACCATGTTATCATTGATTTTGAGAGCTTACTCACTTGACAATACTATTTTAGTATGTCTGTGAGACCAGCAGAAATTCTTTAAAGATTACTTCTGACAGGATAATTTTTTTCTCTCTGATTTTGTTCACGAAGTTATTATTCAATACCCCTTCCCTCCTTTTGGCAAGTGCAAAATTTCTCCTTGACATACCCCCAAAGGACAAATATAATCACATGCTTTTTGGTCTTATGGCCAAATTTATATTTCATGGTTTGTAGGAGATATAATTCATCAGACATACCACCACCCAATGTATCACAAAAAATGTTCTTGCTTATTGTTCATCAGTTCAGATTTTACTATGGTACCTACCAAACAATAAAACAATAAAACCAGTTACTTAAATCCAACCCACAGTATCCTGCAATAACCATAAATCTTGCCAAATACCTAGTGAGTAATGATTGTTACTGTTCAACACTCTTGGCAAATTTCCAGGGCTCCAAGAAAAAAAAGTTACTCTGCTGATTTTTATTTATTTATAGAGTCAAAAATAAGTGCAGAAATCGTAGAATCTGCAGTTATTTTTATTCCCCTCAGTAGGAGGATTTTGCTTTAGTAGGAGGTAAATTGCTCTCTGTTTACATTGTCTGTAATAAAAGCCTGCAGTTGAGCAGCTTTGTCCTCACACTGCAATTACAAGAAGAGGGCTTTAACAGTCTGTGCTCTAAGACTCCACAGGCCTCAGTTGGTCTTTCAGCCACAATTTGATCACCCTTCCCTTTTGTAGAATCTTACATTACACATGTTCAAATCTCCAGAAGGGTCAAAGTATGGGAAAATTAAGTAATGATCAAGTCTATGCCCACAGAACTTGCAGATAATTAGCTTTTACAGACCACTATCTATAAGCCTACAGACTAGGGGCTCTGACTGAGCAGAGTACTTAGACAAATGCTGAAATATTTACTCTTAATAAACAGAAACAGGTTCTAACTTCAGGCATATGGCAAAGTGACTGATTGGTTACAACTGGACTGAACCATACATCAAAATACTGTAATGTATTAAGACCTTGATTTGGATAGTATTTTATATGAATTTATACAGAACTGACACACCAAGAAGAGAGTGACTTACTTTTAGAGTTGCAGCTGCACAGCAGCTATCAAGTTGTGGGTATTACATTTTCATTAAAATGGGGGAAAGTAATAAATTTTTTTAAATAATTTTATTTTACTTTAATGTTTTAAGAGCTATTTAAAGTATAAAAACCTAATAGCATTTCACTGCACGTTCTATTCCACTAGAGGTCAGCCTGCAACAGAACCCCAAGCAAACACAGGAACTGCTGCACACTGGTAGCACTGACATTATTTTCTTTCTCTATTTTATCTGTTAGAAAGATTTCTTCAGAGCCATAACTTAGATCTCTCACTAAAATGGAGCAACAGGAAGATATAATGGTGCATTTCATTTATGAATGACCTATAATAAATTACTATGAAGTATTCCAGGTGCCAAACGAGAGAATGCTTTGTCTGCACATGAGCTATATTTCACATACTTTAATTTAGCTGACACATAAAACTCATTTGACATTTTGCAGGTATTTCTTTGAAAGGATATTTGGTTCTTGTTGAGCGTTAAGGTATGGAGGTGGGGTAACCTGGGTAACAGGAGGTCATTTCCAAGTAGATTGTTGTCCAGGATCAGCTCTTCCAAGTAACTGAATGTTTTCAGTCCTTCTAGTGACCTGCAAACGACAAAGGCAACAGGAAAAATGATACTCCCCTAAATCAGGGAGGCCATTATGAGCTGAAATAAATATTTTAACCTTCCCTTTCAGGAGTGGGAATAGTTTTGGTTTGGGCCTGTCAGAAGAGTGAATGACAAGCATTAGTGGCAAGGGGAGTGCTGGCACTGCAACACATCCTTCACATGTTGGCAGGATGAAGGATGCGGGTCACTTAGTGAGTAGCCAGGATCCAAAACAAAAGGCTTCAGATATGGGGCCTGCAGGATGAATTTGTCAATGTCTTGTGCCTTCAGGCACCCAGCCTCGCCTGACCCTAACCTCCATTCCCAAGATAAATAACTCTGTCACAGTTCACCTTCATTCTCTGGACACAAATTTAAGTTGTCATCCATCATTTCTGCCAAGAAATATCATACCCTGCTAACAATAATAAATACAACTTCAAGAATCATTTCTTAGCAGTTACCTTACGTGCAATAATAGGAAATGTAGAAGAGGGTTTTTTTTTATCCCTTTTTATTAACCACTTAATTAGCTTTTTGAGTCCCTGCAAACAAACTAAAATGTTCTCTACAAAATAAAATCTAAAATTACTCTAGAGAGAAAAGGCAATTTATTTTTTTCTCAGAACTTACTATCCCACTGTCAAGCCACAGGTCAGACTGCAGAGAGCAGCTTTAAAAAGGAGCATTTGACAACACGGCAGTGAAGATGATGACTTGTAAATAAACAACATTCTGGTGGTATTCATTCCTCCGATAGCAAAGTACAAGAAAAAAAAACTAAAAAAGAATATTTCAGTACCTTATTAAGACACCTATTCCAAGTCTGATTCTTAATGCTTGCACATTCCAACAGTAAAAAAAAAAAAAAACACCAAAACCACACATTAATCAACTAAGACACAGGATATACAAAGCATTCGCACAGACATGCATTCACAGCTCATTCACCTACCAGACACCTAAAGATATGCTGAGATTGCATGACTTGACAGCTGATCTACTATGCCTACCAGTGGGAAGATCATCACTGTATCTCCTGGCTGTTTTTTAAAATGTGATGAATAAGGGAGATGTAGTCTATCCAATTTATTCAGTTTCCAATGACATTTATACTGAGGGGGTTTCCTCACCCTCTCCCTAGTTTTTGGCAAAGATAAAAATACAGCCAGTGTCTCTGCTAGAATGTTCTACAGACCCTACTTCTGGAGAAAACCACAATTATTGGAAAGTATACAGGTTTCAAATTAGACAATTTAACGCTCATCTGTACAACAACAACCGGATTCCTCTTTTGTAGATACAACTTACTGACCACTTAGAGATCACATTTAGAGGGCTTAAGGAACAGAAAGAAATCAAGTCTGTGACCTTTACACTGGGTACTGTACACTAAACTATGAATATTCAAGTAACATTCGCACAACACTGAAGCAGTGTTATTTCAGTCCAAGGACTCCAAAGTGCTCACAGGCTCTTGACTTGAAAGGGAGGTACAGCTATTACTAATGGCATTTTGATGCAGGGCAGTCAGACCTGAAGAAAATTTGCCATGCCTATACCCTATCTATTTTGTTACAACGCCTTGAGACTACAATTTCTGAAAAAATAAAGTCTCTATTATAAACATTATACTGAAACAATCACCACAGTAAGAGTCACATTTTTTTGCACTTGCCTTTAACAAGCAATTTTGGAAAAAAACTCTATTTAGCCTACATAAACTCTACTCCATTAAGAGCTGTGCTAGCATGCTGCACTGAGCTAGCTATTTCAGCAAAAGGTTGCAACAGACTTGGTTTTGCCAAATTCCAGATCAGAGGAGAAATCAGCAAACATCTCAGACAGTGTTTTTCCCCAAGTACCTTTAAAAGGCAAAATAACCCAGAGGAAGTAGCAGTGAGTTTATCAAGCTGTTATGAGTTTTCATTTCAGTTTGACAAACCTAGTTTAGCAAATTCCCCTCAAATACTCTTTATTATATAAATAGTGGATTATTTCCAAACCTCACTTTTCAATGTATGACTTTGACTTGCCAAAAGAGTTCAGAGAAGGCCACCTCCTTGTCAGCACCACAGAGCCTTATGGGATGTTAATAGGTCCTTTGTGAAAAAACACTGCTTGGGCTCTGGTCAGTGTCAGCATCAAAATACACATTGTTCCTGAGTTATGTTATGCAAATATAATACTCTTATCATGAGAATCAGCAAATGGTTGGCAACTGGCAAGGAGAAGAAAGCACACTTCCAAAACTGCTGCAGGGGAGGCATAAAACAAAATGACAAGCCATGAAGTAGGACAAAAGGCCTTGAAACACTAGAGGGAGTTGCCTATTGAAACAGCCTTTCTTTCACAACCCTGGGCTGAACACAAGGGTACTAGTTTCATAGATAGGCAGAGAAAAGTGTGCGCAAATCTCCTTACACCTGTCTGGTTTTGATAATTTTTGCCATGTAATGTTATTAGCTGCTCAGTTAAAAAGGAGCCATGTTACACAGGGGGTTGCTTATAATTGCTGTTTTCATGTCATCAGAGCAGTGTGCACTTGGTGATTTAATCACCTAAATTCAGAGTCCAAGCAGATGGGAGGGGTTGTCACAGTACAGAGGGAGGGTGTAGCCCTTAATAAAAATGTACAGATATATGTTATTTTGCCATTCATTAAACTCTTTCTGTTTCATCTTATCAAGAAGAAAAAAATAGGAAAAAAAAGAAAAAAGGGGAAAAAAAAAAGATATGGCAAAGAAACAAAAAAGGAAATAAAAGTGTTTGCTATCATTCAGTGATTGCTACTAAATTCTAGGCATCATCAACCATCATAATATATAATAAAATACTGCCCAGCAGTTGTACTCCAGAATGTAAAAGTTTTAAGTACAATCCACACAATAGATTTATCATACAAACTTCAGCAAGTCCCATAACTTCTATGAGTCTCAATTTCCCATCTGCAGGTGGAGTTTAAGAAAGGATTGCAATGGGGAATTCATATATAGAAAACATTTTTTAGAAGCTGAGATAGAAATCAGCACAAAATACTGTCATTTTCATTTTTAATGAAGATGAGAGTAATATTAATGTACTCCAAGTATTTCCTTATGAGTCCATTACAAAACAGGAGAGGAATGTGTATATACACAGCATAGGAAGAAGGACACAAACAACCTAAGAGAGGAGTATTAAAAGAGGAATATCCCCTAAGAAAGAGAACCAGTCTAAAATAAGCTGAAAACAGCTGAGCTTTTTTTCTCATAGTTCACAGCATAAAAAACAATGTCTCTCTATATTAGTATATTAAAATAAATGCACAATCTTACCACAACAATACAACCAGCACTGAAGGGCCAGTGACAAGTAGTTGTTTCCCCTACTTTAAAAAGGCCAATAAACGTCACTAAGGTGGATTGTAGGGCTATTTGTCCCAGCTCTAACGTCATGAAAGCTGCCCATTATCTCACCCACAGGTACCGTCTCAGTTACCTCATTGCAGGGCTCACACTTTGCTCCCAGAGGAGAGCAAGTGCTGCCAAGAGATTTCCATTGCAATTTTCAAAGTCACATCAAACCGACAAAACATCACAACGTATTCAGTGCCGCCTCATTCAAACAGAAAAAACTTTAGGTTTCCACTGTAATTAACCCTATCCTCGTTAAGATAATTATGATCAAGCTCCCCGTCACAGCTAATATCACAGCATCATTGCCTATGGCTCACGCTTTGCCCTCATTAGCTTACAAAAACACTGCGTTAAACAGGAAACTGACTCCCTCTGCAAAACGACTTAAGATGTTCTATAAGCAGACAGTAAATAATCCTTTAGAATATAAAGGTCTCAGAAATGTCATTTTATCCAAGTTCTTTGGCTAATCAGTATGATTTCTTCCAGCTTTCTTTTCCATAATTCATTCATGGTTTGTAAAAAGTTTTAATCATAAAGGAATGTCATGATAGAGATTTTTTTTTTTTTTATGTGTATGCATGGTAATTGTCAACTACACTATTTCATGTCGTCCCTCTGACCTGACAGGGATTTGGTTACAATGCAAGTAAAAAGCAAGTCTTCATTTTGGTAATATTTGACAGTGAAAATATGATATTTTATAAATGAAAAAAAGCAGAACTCTCTCACGTAATAGACAAAGCTTGGTACTCTGCAGTTGTCCTTGTCCAGAAGAACAAGCTGTTTAAAAGCATATGCTAAAAAAGAAGTATTCCTCACATTTTATCCCACCCCTCTATTAATAAGACAGCTGCCTCATATCTAATTGACTTTTTCCTCCTGTTTAACAGGAAAAGAGAGAGCAGTTAACAATATGTAAATGAGAGAGTTTGGGTTTAGCCTTGAAATTGATTTGCACTTTGTTGAGATGAGATAGCCATTAGCAGAAGTTAAAGATGGAGCTGTTACAAAACAAGAGCTTTAAAAAATGCTTTTTTTCTTGCCTTTAATATTTTAACAGATTACAGGAGAGCAGAATCAACATGAGAACCCTTGTACTAGATAATTTCAGTATTTAAATAGAAATGCAAATTCTATTTCTCCAGCACCTGCCTGCCAAGAAGCACAAAGCATTTTTTTAAACATTAAGGAATTACTTTTCAAAAACCTGCTGAGCTTAAAATTCCATTTTGTAGTAAAGCAGGGAGAGGTTAAGTGAGTAACGGAAGGTGACCTCCAGCAATTTTCTAAGAGACAAGAAATAACACCCAGAACTCTTGACTTCTAGTTCTTTGACTTAACCTCACCACAACAAAACAAAGATAATATGTTATATTTATATATATATAAATCAAAGTACAAGTAAAGCATCAAAAAATAATCTCCACAGCATTCAAAAATTAATACTTTTCCCTAATCCCCAGTCTTACTTAGGACTTATTCACAGTTTTCTGCATGATAATAGATTCAGAAAGAAAACAGAATGAAGTATTTAATGGACAGATCTGACATGACTTCTGGACCAAGGTAGAACACGAGGAAAAAAAGCAGCCCA